GGGTTGGATGGATCCCAACTTTTCATATGTGGGTATCCATGCCTAGATGCACCTCAGCGTATTTGAATAATTTTACAAAGTACATATACTTCTGTAATTCTACAAAAATTAATTTAAAATTATTTCTCTACATGCTGATGATGGTTCTCAGTCATCCAGGTCATAGTCATTCCGTAAAAATTCAAAAAATATCCATTGGACTTGGTTTTCAAGATTTGAAGACGTTTCGCCACCTCTCCAGGAAGCTTTCTCATTTGAATTGAGAAAGCTTCCTGGAGAGGTAGCGAAACGTCTTCAAATCTTGAAAACCACGTCCAGTGGATATTTTTTGAATTTTTACAGTATTTCTCTACGTGTAGAATAGTATATTCGGGCATTTTTTGTCATTTTGATGGCGATTTTAGTAAAAAAAATTTTTAAGACAATAACAAACATGCCATTTTCACAAAATGAATTGAGCTTTAATTTAATTTCCCTTCGGCGTTAATAACGTTTTTTTTTTTATTGGATTGTTTGAAAGTTTTGCATTCAGTCATATTTCACGCTGTAAATCTCAACCAAACTCTTGAAAAGATATTGTTTCTGCAAAACTTTTTTCCTTCCACTCAACTTCCTTTTAATATCTCTCTGTATACAGAGTGAAAGATCAGCTCCTGTTGCCATGTAATGAATGTATATGACTTTGAGATTTTTAATTAAGTAAAATTATATATATATTTAAGGAGATGCGCCTGTAATCTTAAACAGTATTCTTAAAAGAAAACGTTGCTTGCAGACTACTTCAAGTCATTCATAAACGTGTAAAACACATCCAGATTTATAGACGTCTTCTATCACAAGTTTTAATGATGTGACAGTTTTTCCTGAATAAGTCTACAGTGAGCATATCTTGTGATTGATCTATTGTTACTGTATAACTGTGAGGAGGGCAGACATGTTCCATCTGTGGATGTATGTTTCCAGAAGATGCTGGAAAAAGTGGTCAGAGGTCATTCAGTGGTCCGATAAATAGATGAGTGGAGGGACACATGGGGGTCAGAGATGACGCTCTTTTCTCTGCCTCCTTCGCATTTTCTCCCTCCAATTGTCTGTCTCCCTTTGCTCTGTGTGTGTGTGAATTGTTGTTGTTGGCCAACAGCAGATCTATGTTATTGATTGACTCCTGTGGCTGCTGGGCTGCCCACTGAAGGAGGGGGCAGAGCTCTAATGAATTCCTGCACCTTGTGCCCCCTGCGCCAACCCCTACACCCCCTTCTTAATTAACTTTGTGGGTATTTTGTGTGTTTGTGTGGGAGTGAGTGCAGGTGAGGTGGGGGTGCTTGTGTGTGTGGATGCATGGAAGTATGTTTTTTCTGCGTCCTCCCCTGCTCCACTCCCCCGCTTTCTGCTCTCCCCTCCATTGGCCCCCTGTTTTTTTCTTTTCCTTCAGTACTATATCTTTTTCTATCATCCGACGAGTCTGATAGTTCAATGTGACTTCAGTAAATTTACATGGATGTCATTCTTTTTTGATACAGCTCATCTCCTTCTGGTAGCCGTATCTGATTTAGATCTCTACATTGCTCAGATCTATGCAGATATGAAGGTGCATACAGAAAGGATTTCCATCCTCAGATCTGATCGGAGTGTCATATCTATACCCAACCTGAAAAATGACAGATTGCATGTGTTTGTGTGTCTGAAGGTCTTAGACCCATCGGTATTCCAGACGTGTAGGCAAACTACCATTTTTGTCACCTTGAACCCCTTGATTTCTCCTGCAAGAGGAAGCAGCTCTGAGCTGCACAGCAGGCACTTTCTCTCAGTTCAGTGTAATTGTAAATACCAGTTTAATTTTATTTCCTGTCTATTTCCGTTGATCTCTCCTTTATTAAAATGGTGTTTCTCTATGCATTTTGTTTGTTCCTGTTTTGCTTTAAATATCAGCATTATTTTATGCAATGACCACAATTATTTTATTTGATCTGAAGGTGTTGCATGTGATAGACCAAAAAACAACTCATACATGCTTATAAAGTTGCGCAAAAAAAAAAAAAAAAAATCACACAGGTTTTCAACTTTTCCACAAAAAGGAATGTAAAGCAGTGCGTTGAATCTGTATTCACTGCCCCAAAGTCAGTACTTTGTGGATCCATATTTGCTACCATTGTAGCCCCAAGTCTTTTGGGTGTATTTCTCTACCAGCTTTATTCTGGATCAAGAGACTGAAGTGTTTTGCAAAAAGTCAGACTGAAAGGAGAGCATCTGTGAACATCAACTCTAAAGGGTTCCACATTTTTTGAGCTGGATTAAGGCCTGAATTCCAAGTGGCCCATTGTAATTCATCAATAAAACCATTGCTGGTAGCTCTAGTTGTAGTTTTATGACCGTTTTCCTGAACAGTGTGTTTGCAGCTTCTAGCAGGTTTTCTTCCAGCACTTTCTTGTATCTACCTCCATCCATTTTTGTATCAATTCTAGCCAGCTTCACTGACTTAAAGAAAAAGATTGCGATAACATGATGGTGTCATACTTTTACAGCAGTGATGGTTTGTTACTGTAATGTGAATTGTGATTTTTCACACAGCATACAATGTTGTGCATGTAAATAAAGTTTGGTTTTTGATGCTGAGAGCACCTTCCACATGTTCGCTCTGCCCTGTGTACAGTAGCTAACCCTACTTCTTAAAGTTTGGTTTTTGATGCTGAGAGCACCTTCCACATGTTCGCTCTGCCCCGTGTCTTTTCTGGCAATCATTTTAACCTCAAAACTAACAATATAAATTAGATTTGAGCAGATTTTTTTGGAGCCAAGCTTCAAATCAGCAGTTGAAGGTCTATGAGGCTTTTTTGGCATATCGGACCTCAATTGGCTCCTCCATAAAGGTAAATAGTATGGCTGGATCCTTTGACCAACATCTTAATTGGAACCAGATATTACTTTTGGCAGCATGGGTAAAAAGTCGCAGCGGAACAAACATCATTTGAAACCCAAGAAACCAGATCGGGGAAGTTTGAAGGCATAGCCTTCATGTGGACAGGCTAAACCACTTAAATGGCAACAAACTGGCAGGTTTGCGTGTGTGAGCCAGTGTAGGATTCACCTCTACATCTGCTACCTGAAACAGCAGCAATGCTGCTGTTTTTGTTAGACAGAAGAAAAAACTCTATTTGCGCAAGTTGTACACTACGAAAATGAATATGTTGAATGGAAACACTGCAATTCAGAAAAAAACTTCTGGTTTTTGATAAAAAAAAATTTTTTTTATTTAAATTAGGATTTTATTTGGTTATATTTAAATTCTTGTATTTTGCACAAATGAAATGGAAACACCTTTTTCACATCACACGAGTCCTGTGATATGGACCTTACTGCCTTGTAAAAAATGAAGAGGAAGAAGAAGAAGTAGACTGGAAGTAGTTGGAGGATGATAGCGCCCATTAGAGCAGTGACCAAAACATGCCATTAAATGGCATTTGCCATTTAATGGAAATACCACAATTGTGAAAATGTGCATGTTTTTTTATTTAGCAGTATATCGACATAACTTTGTAATAGAAACACAGCTAATCGCAAACTTTTAAGTTAAGGTTCAGTTTCAGCAGATATTAATTTATTTGGATTCGCTTCTTCTCCCTTTCCTTCGTCGTTCTTCTCTAATCTTCCTTTTTTTATGTAGCGGTGTTGCAGCGTCACTCACTGGAATGGCATAAGTATAACAATGTTTATTATAGTTTTTCTAAGCTTTGTGTGGTTTCATATTCTCGGTGAAACTTTTCTCTGTTGTTCCCTTCTGCAGCTTCATAGCCTTATAGTTGTCCTGAAAGCATTACCCACCTGTGATGTGGACCTTTGCAGTTCCTTCAGAATAACTAAGAGAGTTTTTTTCCCCAACATGTGAGTTTAGGGAAGCAGCCACATATTAGGATGTTCGTTTTGTTATAGTCAGTTTATTACTGGGTTCTGGAAGAAATTACTTAAATGGGATTTTATGTGGAGCAGTGAAGTAAATTGGGCTGAATAAAAGGCACACCACACTTTGATTTTTCGTAGTGCTTAGGTAGAAGGAAACCTGGCTTACCTGTTTATTGGAGGTTTTACCTGTCATCTAAAAGACTGATCAGAGTTGAAAAAGTTTGCAGTTGTTTCGCTTGAAAGCAGCTCATCAATACATTAGCAAGGCGCTGTTATGAGAATGTCTTAAACCTTCTGCAGAGAACAGTCACATATCATTATGCACAACCCTCCACCCCCCCTTTAAGGCAAATCTACATTAGCGCTCAGATGTCTGTGTTTGCTTTAGATGAACACAATCTTTTCCTTCATAATCTTGAAGCCAGTGATGTGCCTCTTTGTTTTTTTTTCCCCCTAAAAGAAAGCAACCTTGCATCAGGGAAATGTCAATTAGGAGACGTTAAAAGTATTTTAGTGTGTAAAATCTTGTGTGCGTGTTTGCCGAACTGTCGTTAGCCATGTGGTCTGACAGTTTTGTAGATCCAAAGTGAAACGGCTGTCAGCATCTCCCTGCTTTCAGTGACTCTGATGGCTACATGGGCACATGCAGACGCAACAGACACACTACGCCTGTGTCTGCCTGTTCTCTCTTTCTCTTCCATCGTCTCTTTATGATCTCCTGGTTTTTATTGTCGACTGGTAATGATGTGGTATGTTAGGGAGTCAAGCAGTAAGGGAAATGAATTAGAGCTGTGGTACTCGCTGCTAAAACCTCTGCGTATAAATGTTGAATTTTCGGGTTTGAATTTTTGCACAGCTGTTTCAGTCATCAGGTCAAAACCTTGAAACTGCCGAAGTGACAACTTTATTGTAGTTTTTATGAGCTTTATTAATCCTCTGACAGGATTTTCACCCAGTGAAGAACCACGTAATCCCTCAAAATTAATTATCCCTTTTCTGTGGGAGACATCAAACATTATTACGTTTCTTTTTCAGACAAATTCAAAAGTAATTGAGTCAGATCTGCATACTCATCCTTTGTTACCTTTGTGTTATTTTCTGTTCAGGGGCAGACGTGACCGAACCTAACAGCTCAGACAGCCGTGGCGAACGCCTCGATTTTTTCCTTAAGCAGGAAGAGGCTCTCACAACAGAGCCGGGCTTCCTGGGCGCCAACGAATCGGAGGAGGCCAGCGGAGGAGCGGGAGGCGGAGGCATCTCGTCAGTAGCCAATCTGAAGGCAGCGCTCATGAGTAAGAACAGCCTGCTGTCGTTGCGGGCTGAGATGATGGGAGATGATAACCCCTTGCTGTATGAGTACCTGCCCAAAGGAGGACACTCCCTGTCCTGTAAGTATCTATTTACAGGAACTTTACTCACACTGCTTGTTACACCCAACTGAGCCACACTAGTTTACAGCATGTTTCCTTCAAAGCGATGGACAGCACCTTTTATAAGCATTCATATCACTAGAACTTTAGTTAGTCTTTTTAATGTCTCATGTGAATGTTTTATGTGACACACCAACACAAGGTAGCACATCCTATGAGACATTGAAGATAAGGGATAAAGAATATACTGAAAAGTGTTGCATGCATATGTACTGATCCTCCTTTATTTTGATACTCAGTAAAATTCGGTGCAATAATTGGTTTCTAAAAATCTGTGGTTCTGTGAAGGCCTCAAAATGTTTGTTATAGAACATTAGAGAGCAAGGAGGACAAGCCTGTGTACGCTAAACCCATTTTTACCACAGTTGTGGCAGCATCATGCTATGGGAGACCTTTCCTCTGGGACAGGAAAGCTCAAGCTGATAGCAAGATAGTTTGAGCTAAGCACAAGGGAATCTTGCAATGTGGGACATGAGCTTCTGTGCCTGCAGACCCCTAAGCATTGTGGGTTTTTTTTTTTGCCTTTTAAATGCTGCCCTTTATATATAAATTATTCTGCATATTTGGGGATATATACCTGCTATGTATGTATTTTGATTTATTTTGGCAACATGTGTTGTGTGTTTTATGATTTCTTTGTTGCTTCTTGATAGATGCTGGAGAGAAATTTCCTTTTTATGTAGTTTAATGGACAATAACATCTACCCTACGTTATATGAGCCTCTTGAAGGCTGCAGCATCTTCAAATAATAATAATACATTTTTAATAATAATTGAACTTTATTGATCTCACATTGGAGTAATTTACCTCTGCATTTAACCCATCCAGAAGTGGGCTGCCATTGTGGGGCGACTGAGGAGCAATCGGGGGTTAAGGGTCTTTGCTCAGAGACCCAGAGTGGCAGTCTGTAGAAGTAGGGTTCGAACTCAGAACCTCAGTATTCAATGCTCAAAGCCCTACCACTAGGCCGCCACTGTCGTAATAAGGATGATGAAGTGAGAGGGAACTTTGCTGCAGGCCCATAATCCCAATCCTAAACAAACAGCTGGATTTACATTGGAAAGGCTTAGTTTAAAAGATATTCATGATTTTTATAATGACCCAAAATCCAGATTGAGATTTGGAGCTGTAACTTCAGCAAAATATAATGCTATATGCATATATAATGACTCAGGATGGTTATGTGCAAACACATTACTTTGCAGGGTTTTATTAAGAAAAATGAACATCATGTTTATTTTGCTTTTATTCATCCACTTTAAGAAATGTGAAGCTTATAAAGCACTGTATCTAAATAATGTCTTTAACAGCTATAAATGTCCCTCAGTCAATTGACTGGGTTAAATCTCAATGTTTTTGTTTTGTGACATGACTGCTGAGCAGTGACTAAGTGAGAGAACATTTTGCAAAGCTCTCTCTTGCAGAGAGAATGTTTTACTTTCTTCTCAAGCAGTTTTTTGTTGGCTCTCAGTGATTGTGCCACTGAACTTCAGAGAGACCAAATAAACCAAGATAATAGCCTCTCAAATAGTCATTAGCTCATATTGTTCCACATTAAACTTGCATATTACCACAAAATCTTACGTTTTAATTAACAAATGTGCCAAGATAAGATGCCCATATTTCAATCACTTTAGATCTGATATTGACCCAATTCATTTATAACCCATTTGTAGATATAACATTTGCACAATTTGTACGGATATCTTTATCTTGTCTTTCTTTTTATTTAGGACCATATCTTTGCACTTACTACTAATTCTATTGGAATGCCTGTGTATAAAGTTGTGCATGGCGCAGGAAATTTTGATATCTGGTTTGCTCCCATTACTAATCAGCATTCTGGTGAGGTAGTGTGATGGTGAGACAACCTCTAGAATTCAGGAGTGGTTGTGTGCTTGATGCCATTGAGCAGTTATGGGATCAGAGCGTGTTGTTAATCCCACAGTGACCAACGCGACCATGTTGGCTAACTTGTGACAAATGCTGGTTGAAGGATGGGACACCATTACCCAGCTTGTGACAACCCTGAGGAGCTGTCAAGCTGTTGGAGCTTTGATCACTTCTCACATACATCAACAAAACTCAGGCATGTCTACTCTATATGTCATTGTAAGTTACCAATACACATATATATGCTGTTTCTTCAAACTTTCAATCATTTCACCAATAGATGACTCTGAAGCTGATTGTTATGGAAAAAAGGTTATAACTATTTTTTTTTCTGTACTGAATGGTTTCCGTGATTATTATGATACATCTTCAAATTTTAAGTCAAATTTTGAAGATATTTTTATGCAAAATTAAAGAAAGTGTGTAAGGAAATGGTGTTGGCCTTGTGGTTAGAGCAATGCACTTGTGCTCTGAGAAGGTTGGAAGTACCTGGTTTTGATCCCCACAGCCTGCACTCTGGGTCCCTGAGCAAAGAGCCTTAACCCCAAACTGCTCCCTGGGCGCCACACAGTGGCAGCCCTATACTCCCCAAGGGGATGGGTGAAATGCTGAGGTACATTTCTCCAGTGTGCGATAAGTAACGTTCAATTATTATTTAAAAAATATATATTAATATTATAATTACTATATTGACAAAAACTAATGAGTTTTATTTAAAAAATGTCAAAACACTGAATTTCATATATATTTATATATAAATCTCAACTGCCCTGCTGTTCCAATGTCCTGATAGCTGATTGCAAACTCTACTCCTTTGTGAGAAAAATAGTCAAACTCGGTATTCCACAAATTGCCTGTTTGGTCAAGTGTAGTTTGTCAAATGCCTAAAATATTTTTTGTTTGTTTGTTTTTCTGGTATACAGGATACCAAATTAAAAAGCCAAATAACCGGCTTTCTTTCTTAATTTCTTTCTTAATCATCAATGTCCCCACCATTTAAAGTGAAATCAAAAAGCTGTTGCAAAAAGTGGGAAAAGATTGACCAGACTTGATTGGTTTATTTATGTTTACGCTATATTTGTTATAGCTGTTGATCTGCTTATTTCCCCAAACTATAACTGACTAAACCATATATTTATCATGTTTATTACACAGGAATAACCTGCAGATTAAGTGTTTAATTTGTCTATAAGAGAATTTCTTCTTTCCAATGTTTTTCTTTGCTACTTATTGAGCGCTTCTTTATTTAATAGGTTTAGTTGAAAGGAAACAAGCACAATAGCATAGAAAGCTGAATGAAACTACATGCCTGTATGATGGTGCTTATAGGTTAAATATAATTGTTAACTAGGCCTATTAACTTTTTACCTTCACTTTTTATGTTTTCAATTAGCTTTTTCCATTTTTTTCTTGACTTGTTAACATTTTTTTTCTTCAACTTAATTTCCTGTAGGTAATATATCATTCAAGGGCTCATCTAATTGGTCAAATGATCAAATAAGATGTACAGCCATGTAGCAGCATCTTTGCTGAATGGCTGGATATAGATCTTGTGCTTCTAGACCTCACTGAGGGATGGAGGGACACCATTTGTAAGGGGTATGCAAGGGAACAAAAACGGTTACTTACCCTATAAAGGGTTAAAACATGATATTGACAACATTTGCAAAATCATAGATATTAAGCAAAAACAGATAAAAACATAACATTTTTTGATATAGCCAGAGTTTAGTCTGTTTCTTAAACATGCTGAGGTTGGTCACAGGTTTTAAACTGACAGAGAATGAGCTCCATGAGAGACTACTTTGAGCATCAGAAGCTCTGCAGGAGGAGACCTTACAGTTAGTGCGTACATGTTAGATCTGCTGTCACCATTGGGCACCTGTATACAACTGCTTAACGGTTTGCATACATACATAAATCCATTAAACTTTAAAAAATACATTTGTGAAAAATTGTGATTTATTATGTTAGAAAAATCCAAAACAGGAATATAGAAATTATGAATTTTGTTTGGTTCTGGGTTAGACCACACAGTAGAAATCAATGAAGTCAGTTTAAAGTCCCCCATAAGGATAGCGGAACATAACGTGTGTGTATGTGGTACTGTGAGCACATATTCGCTGGAGCCCAGGTCCGCGTGGGCACATTTTGCGAGCTCAACTTCAGGATTTGTTTCTTTCACGGTTACTGCCGTGTAATTGGATCTTTTGTCCTCTGAGTTCTGCCTGTTTTCTGTAAGCGTAAGAAAAGCAGAGGAAGGGTACAACTCCAAGCCCAGTTGCGTCTACTGAGCTGAGCCCCACTCACCTACAGTATAAAAGATCAGGCCAAGCCTGAATAGGCCAAATACACACACCTATAATCGCGCACGCTCGCATGCTTGTGTCACTTGGCATCACCTCTATTGTGCAAGTGTTAAGTGTGTGGGATTGAGATGTTTGGCTCAGAGAAGAGAATCAGATGCTGTCACAGCACAGAAAGCCTCAGAAAATACAGCCAAAGGTTTTTGGATTATGCTTTTGGATTTTGCAGCTACAATCAGCCTTGACTATCTGAATAAAAGATTTGGAGAATTCTAAGAATGTTGCTCATTTGTTCCCTGCATGGGAAAGTTTTCTGAATGAGCCCTATATCTGTATTGCAGTTGTCACCAAAGAAACCTCAGGGAGGGTTTTTTTGGTTAGCCAAACACTATTTTGTATTCGCTACACAATAGGGGTTGGGGAAATGGGCTTGCTGAGATGGCCAGCAGCCTCCCCTCCCACCCCAGGTCTGTCCCTGTGTCTAAATGAGGACAGAGGATAAACAAACACTGTACCTCAGATTACTGGGCGGAGGAGAAGTCTGCCTGCTTTGACAGATCACTGCTCCTACTGTCACTCCCTCCCTCCCTCTTTCTAACCATCCAGCTCCAGTCCCCCCTTCTACTGTCAGTTTTCTATCGTCCTAACTCCTGGGTGTAACAGCCCTGATGTACATTTATCCCTCCCCTTCTGTTTCCCTCCTTCTTTCTCCTTCACCCCACCTTAACACTCGTTCCTCACCCTTTCCTTCCCGCTCT